ATGTAGTCCTCCTTCGGCTTCCAATAAGACCAATTTACGAATCTCCTCTACTCGTCTCTTTAAACGAAATGATATGTATGCCATTATTATGTTCCGGGTCTCCTCTGAATATCTTAAGTGGGTTTCTAAACAAATTGACCTACCTATTCTAGTCATTACACATAATTTATATGATGGCTGTGGCCATCATAATTCCTATTTCTTCGTTTTCCAAACCTACAATTTCGCTAAAGACCAGTCCTATACACGAACGTAGACTTTTACCATAATACAGGAAGCACTATCTGGATCATCCCTTGTAAAAATATTCTGATTTAATTTTAGAACTTTTGAAACCCCTTTGTTATAACATAGGATATAATTTAACTAATTAAGAATATATTTCTATTCTACATCAAAATACAATTGTCTTTATTTTATCTTTTTATTTAAGTAATTAATTTTTTATCTTTTTTCAAGCTCCTAACAGATTTGTCAGAAGCCGAAGTCTGGATATCAGAGCAGTATTCTGGTCTTTCGACTTTTTGCTCCTTAACTGATATCGATGGAACTTTTGCGGCAGTTGATCGACTTCATGACTTAGAAGTTCAATTGAAGGCGGTTAAAGCTAATATTCTGGACCCGATAAAGCTTAGAATTCCTGATATTACCTGGCAGCCTAAGTCACAATATCCAAAACCGCCATCGGTAGCTGTTGCAACCACTGCAGTTCCAACAAATATTTCCTTGGCTGGGACTGGCTTGGCCTCAAAGATGATAATTACCGAAGGGGAAAATATCGAAGATACTAGTCAGGCGAGCGAGGGACTTCTTTTTTCCAACATTTTGAGTGAAGTTGGAGGATTGGCATTATTTAATGAGCTGGTTGAATGTCCCAGTGATCAAGACAAATGCACTGCGGAGGAATATTATCAAGAAGTGGAGGAAAGATGGGTAGGTGAAAGATATTATTTATGTTTGCTTTACTCAGCTGATCGCGCATTTATCTAATTCCATAATCCTTTCTCGACGCATACGCCTCAGAAAATCTAAATTGAAGATTGCTTAACTTTAAGCCTTTACTTGGCTCAGAAGTAAACTACTCTGTCTTTTTCTGAAAACGTAACCGAACTCTTGATATTTCGTAATAGTTAAGCTTAATTTCAAAATCCACCAACCTCATTGTCTCATTAAACGTCATAGTTTGATCTTTATGTCTTTTGTCGCTGCACATCCAGTGTGAAATCCCTAGATTTACACAATTCATCAGCTGTACACATCTCAAACCCGTTACCCATTGAAACATCTTTTCAAGTATCACTTCAGTTTGATCTTAAGCTTATCAAACTACTCTCCTATTTCCGAATTTGTTTAGGCATCTTAACAGGAATACATATTTGAGTGGGCTAACTTTATAAATGCAATAAACTTAATTGCCTTTGTTACAATAAAAAACATTTATGCATAAACAAGCCAAGAGGAGCCTTTACGAATTTTCACTTGCGAGTTATCTTTACTTAAGTAGAGTATTTGTTATGATTTAGCTACTACACCACCATGGATAAGTTTCAAGCATATTGAAAACTCTTTAATTGAGTACTTATTTTAGCGTTGGGGATTTAATCCTTACATGAAACCGTTTTCTTAAAGGGAAATAAAAGAACAGGCTGTTTAGAATGAATTGTGTCTTTTTTTATTTGCACTAACTAATCAATTTTCGTCCTCCAAATTTTATTTGCTTTTTTATTCCGTCCCTACAACACCCTACCATCCATTTTTTTATTTTATACCTCTGGCCTTTAGATGACTCTGGTTTCCCATTTTGAGCGCCTGCTAGGCTATTTTGGATTGCTAAAATGTAGACTGCGTCTCCGATTGCGGTGCCTTGAGTTTGACCTGGAATCAGACGATCTGTCCGCCTGGCTGGCGGAACAGGCTGAGATAGCTGATAGCGAAGCCTATGGCCGTGAGGTGGAGCACTGCCAACGCCTTTTGGCAAAGTACACTGAGCAGTCTACCGTATGTCTAGATGAAGCATCTATTTGACAGTCACTAAGGCTGATTTCTGAATTGCAAGGATCACTAAACCTGTCCAATCCTTTTTCGATACTACTTCTCTTATTTTTTTTCTGTTTATGCTACCTTATTTGGTATATAATGTCTCAATCTTGATATATACGAAATGCCCAAATAAGTCCTCTCCTTTAGACTCTGATCGAGTTATTGGTGTTTGTGCAGCTTTACAATAAAGTTTCTAAAATTTTCTTTTTCATTCATCATTCAGACTTAATCATGGTTTGAGGACACAAACTAAAAGCCTCGACTAGCAGTGAATTAGCATAACTTCTGTATGAACTATAAAAATTTCTACTTGAGTCAAGAAAGTAGGCCTAATTGATAGACCGATTTTGAAAAATTAATAATTCATTAACTTTTTATTTGAATATGGTTTCCTTGTTGTTTATTTAATTTTCCTTATTTCTTTAAAAAAAAGATCTTGAAAGATTTTTCTTATTAGAAACTTACTAGGCATACTATATATAATGAGCTGTATTCACCCTATTTCGTCTAAGGTGAGGAAGGACTGGTAGTAGAATTTTCTCACAATGATATGAGTTGAGCTGACGTTTCCCTTGAATTTCATATAGCCTTGCTTTCCCAAAAGTTGTTCTCATCCAGGGTGGACTGCAGTTTTGACCTCGCATCGGTCCTATCAACCCTCTTAGCGGGAGTCGAATCGCGACAGTGCAGGACGGTAGCTTGACATGCTAACCACTCGGCTACACTGCCACGAGTACCCTTGAGTCACAGAGCATAAGTAAATTTCAAGGAATGTCAGGCCTCTTTGCTATATCATATTCTTTTGATGGGAGTGCTGATGAAGCAAACGTATGTTTGCTATAGCAATCGACAACGTTACTTATATTTGTATTAGAGTAGGGTTTCGAGACTACCAGCGGTTCGACTCCCGCTGAGGGTGTTGATAAGACCGATGCGAGGTCGAAACTGCAGTCTACCCTGAACGAGAAAAACTTTTAGGAAAGCCAGGCTATGTGAAATTCAAGTAAAACGTCAGCTCAACTCATATCATTGTGGGAAAATTCTACTACCAGTCCTTCAACACCTTAGACGAAATAGGGTGAATACAGCTCATTACACTGATTTACTGGTAGTCTCGAAACCCTACTCTAATACGAATATACTATATATAATTATATCCTGCACTATTCACTTGCATATTTTCTATTCGTCGGGAAAAACTGGAGAATAATCTATAATTTCATTATAAATCACAGAAAATTTGCTATGTATCAATCTTTCTTCTTCTAGCTCTCTTCCTTGCAAGTTCCCTACACTTCTGATGGTGATCGGGTTAATTATATTCCCTTTTCCTTTACAGCGTAGCATCAAACTTGCCAACAGGCGCTTGGCTGAATCGGAGACCTATGCTAAGATGTTGGCCTCTGAAATCGACATGGCTTGTGCTAAACTGACCCGAAATTCGGAATTCGAGTCTGATGCCAGCTCTGCTAGCCTTAATTCTGAGGCCAATACCTCACTCGAAAGTTCGCCGGTCAGGACAGCTTCAGCTGCCGGCATGCAGAATTCGTACGTAAGGTCCAAATATCCTCAATCCCGGCTGCTTGTTCAACCCAGATTCACAGAGTCTCAGCACCAGCTAGTACAGCAATTACAAAAAGAGCGTAGCCTTGTGGTTGAGCGTCAAGAGCAGCTTCAGCAAACATGGGGCAGCGTTTTCAGGAAGATACGTGCCAGGAAAGAGGTATCTTGCTCACATAAGTTAGAATTGTTTTCCGCTGGATTAAGCTTTTAGATCTGATAAGAGTTCTGGAGTTCTGATAAGAACTTATACAATATAAAAAATTTGGAGAATAAGGGAGTTTAATAAATTTAAAGGATATTTTGGATATTAGATCGTGGAAGAGTCCTAAAAAACTAGTCTTTATTTTCGAAATGTTAGTGGTTTCTTATATTGTTAACTACAAACTTTTGCAGACAGTATCTCATTGCCTATGTTATGACCAAACATGCTGCCTCCACTGTAATTTTATTATATGAAACTTGCCTTACTAATTAGCAGGATACCGTTAACGGAGACACTACTATCTGATAAAGACTCAGCTCAAAAATGCAGGATATATCTAGAATGGAAAGATATGAGGACTAGTTAGGAGTAGAGCTATGCAACATTTTAGCCGGATGTATAATATGAAAGTATGGTAATGGATAGATATCAAAAATAAGCAAAAAGCATTGCATTCAGTCGTTGGTCCGAGCCATTTGTTGCCAAGCTAACATCTAAAAAACGCGTCCGCCGTCCTGACAAACTTAAGAGGAACATCAAAATTGATGTTCTTTATGGCAGGTCTTGGCAACTTCTTTATTATTTCTAAAAATAATCGTCAATTTTATGTTTTCTTGCATCATGTTCTGCAAGGAGATATGTAAAAAAGTACAGATCAAGAGAAACCAGATTACCTTAAAAAGGTCATCTTAATCCCACATTTCTAGATAGTATTATAAACCAGGCACAGATATACTGTAGGTAACTGGACATTGAAATGCATTTTAAAGCATTAAGATATGCATTCTATGCTCTAAACGATAGCGCTATAAAATCGCACAAAATAAAACTAAACTAAGCACTATCCCTAAGGCATATATGAGAGAGAATACAATATGTTTTCCCTCCTATTCGGTCAAATTTGGGCTGATTTGTGAAGTGTTTCGCTAAACCAAAGTTACAATATCAACAGCACTATTAGGATCCCCTTTAATAGGTTTTACAATATGAAACTCACAATTTAACAGATATTTAAGCATATCTTTTCTATTTAAGACAAGAAAAATGGCACATTCTGAGGTCCTATATTTAACCACTGATGCTCCTAACCTGCAGACGTATTTTACATCATATGCTGATCTTGATAAAGTTGGCTACTCAATTTAAAATACAATCATGATTTATTTTTTCAGGAGGCACTTCATCGGGCATTAAAATCTCACGATGGTAATCTAACCGTATAATAAAAAAATTATAACTGTCAATTTTGGCT